TATGAATTTTGAATTTTGAAATTTTAGTGCCATTATTTAGTGTGATATAATTATAAAATATGGATTACCGGTAAAATCTTCATCCATTGCAATACAAATCATTCAAATGGTAATCAGATCCACAAATCTGAGACGGATAAATTATCGTGTATAATTCTGAAGACTATTCTGCGTGCTGCGGAAATACCATACCAAAAATCAGATTTGAGACGAATTTCAGTGGGTCGGTTAAATTGTTTACAATTTAACGCACCATTTAACGCACCGTCCGGTCAGACTTCAATGGGAGGATTGCCTTCACCTTCAGTATGTTTGAGAGCCTCTCCATTACTTGAACTGAGAAGGACGCTATCTTTGCCTCAAAATGGGCCTGTACCTAGCCTTAGTGAGGTCAGTGTTGTTGTGCAGCTCCAGAGAGGCAGTTGTTCCAACGAAGAATGCAGAATGACCGTTGTTGAACTGGGAACATCAGTGTTTACATCAAGTTAGTGTCAGTGTTAATGGCAGGAGCCAAGTGGCGATTGACTCTGTTTCTTCGAACACATGTAGCTCCGTAGATCTGAAGATCAAGAAAAGCAGGTTGGCCGCATTAGAAAAACTGGTTAGGGAAAAACCATTTACTTCAGACTGTACGCTTCTCGATCAGGAAGTCAGCTCAACGTGAATAAAAAAGGTGGAGGCAGAGCAGCTTCGGGGGAGGAATTGTTCCCTCTATGATGGGACTGGTTTTTGAAGCAATTGTTTTAAGAGGCTGTAGATGCAGCAGGAATTATAAAGAATTTAAATAATGATCTCAACAAGCAGAAAACGCAAACTTTGCCAAGATATCATTTGCTAAAGTATTTTTTGAAACCTTAAGTTCTTTGGAACAAACTAGTAACAATTTTAATTAGTGTATATTTGGACTGTAAAAGACGCAAGAAATTCATAAAATTAAATCAATCATAGGTTCCTTTGTAATTTATGAATGCAAAATTTAGAATATTCAGAATATAGAAAGTAACCTAATTGAACCGTTTAAAATAATTTCCAAAAATTTACCAAATGGATCTGGAAATACCCAGAGCAGTTACTGTGCTCTTTTTGTCTTGCTCTGGGTAAAAGTAGTGACTGTCTGAGAAACAGTAGTTCCACAACGTTGGACTTCAAGATCAATAGGACGGACGAAACTTCACACGAAACACACTTAAACATTATTAACGCCATGAAAATGGTACAAAAATGAAAATGCTGAGCAAAATAGTTCATCACCACATATAGTCACTGAATAGGGGACGTCATCCGGTGGTGAATAGAGTGCTCCTGCAATGACGAATCCAATCTAACAGCAAACGTGTATCTTATTAAACCTGTGACAATTATTTTCAAATCCGTCTATCCATTTATCCTCATCTATTGGCATGAGAGCTGGTCGAAAAAAGGCGATACTGACTATCTGCTGCATAAATGAGGTTTATTCGAAGGTTGTTTTCGTGACTGAACTTGACGAAGTCGCAAATATGTCAATCTGATATGCTTTCGATTGTGACCTGAATTTCTCATGATTAGCTTAGATTTGCGGCAGCAATTTGAACACACGGCCAATATGCCATAGAAAAGACTCGAAGGGCATACTTTATTTTCAAAGTCACGTCGAAGAGAACCCAGGGACAATCCAAACTGTCAGGTTTGTGGACTACATATATGAACTGTCATTGCGAGCTAAAATCAAGGTCATGCAAACAACTGAGTATGGGGAACCAAAAGCACTGGAAATTGGCCCTGAATCAACTACCCGGCGACCAGAAAGTAATGCCGGCATCTAAAACAAATGAATAATTCTATTTTCAATTAAACGTAGCATCCAGGGATTGGTTTATATTGACGCTAATGCTAGCTTTCTATGCGTATGATGACATGGTTCAAATGATTGATTATAAAATGTGCGTAATAGTTGGAATCGTCATAAAATCTATTTCAATATACAAACGTATTAAATTAGTTGCATGGATTAACATAGCTTGTTGACCACTGAACTTCAATCCACCGAATGCTTTTAGTAGTCCTCTGAAAGGAGTTTTATTGTGAATTTTCACAAATTTTAAAAACAGTCTCAAACCTTTAAATTACGCTATTTTTTCTCACAAGAAAACGTTTACAGGACCGTCTAGCAGAAGTAACAAAGGCATTACGGAATTATACTCAATATATACATAATAGCCTCGTGCGGTTATGACATTGAGTCTCAAAAAAATCTCGAGCTTGCCTATAACTCAGTCTACAAATTAAGCCAAAGAGAGACACAATCGGAAAATCTGTTCAGTTTAGTTACATGTTGAACATGAAGCCAAAACTTAGCTGGCACAAACATCAATTGCAACAGAAACTGCTAATTTGTAGTAGATTCATCGTTAAAGGTAAGGTAAATTATTCGCAATGTATTGTAATAAAGTATCATTATGCTTTTGATTAGAATGGGATTTAGTTCAAAGTCTTGAATGGGGAATGAAATTTCTTACCGACTCGTTTTCACTGAAGAGACATTTCTAAGGTGATCCAAATGACTTTCTAACTTTACAACCATTCCCTAAGCGCTGACCCCCTGCATACAATGCTAGTTACAGTAGTACTAAATACAATTGACCCTGTTTATGAAGAGAAGCATTGCCTTTCTTGCAGAATTGAAAGATATCTGTCATCACTAGCCTAAAGAATTCTGACGCAAAACGATTCTGCTCTAAATACGCTGGGTCATTTGTTGGCTGTCTTTCTTGTAATTACTCTTCATTTCTGTTATTGCCATAGGTTTGTCACAGAGCTGCTGGAAAGTGAGCCAATGCATTTTTGCTTGCTACTCCAATCATTTCAATTTACAGTTTGAAATGCACCGTTCTATATTGCTGCCTGATGTAAACAACATGTTAGAATTTACTATGTAATGCTTGCAACGTTTACCGGTTGTCGGAGTGTGAACCATGAGGATCTAAACATTATGGAGATCAGCCAGAAGACGAAGTGTCGAGTTCTGAACGCAGTAATCCGTTCCATCCATTTTTATGGATGTGAAGTTTGGCGTGAGATTCGAAGCTTTGGGAAAACTCCTTCGACCATCAGCACTCAAAAATCATCTCAATAAAGTGATTTATCAGTCACGTATCCAACTGCACAATCTGGCTAACGACTGTCCTAAAAGAACGGCCACTGCGTTGGCAAGAGTAGTTGCTGAGACGTCTACTAAACGATGCCATTTAAGTTATAGTAAATACCACCCAAATTCTGGATGGCGCACAAAATTTAGAACATCGAAATGGAATGAAGCGATCCGGGTTGTCATTCGAGCTTGCTAAGCCACATCTGTTGCTAGTCATAGCAGCAACAATACTCAGAACGAAACATGGAGAAACACCCTTCTCAGGCAGGAATATCGAGTATGAACATTTAAGTGCTGAAATGCTGTCACTGCCAGAAGTCATAACTGCATGCTGCTCCAGTTCTGAAATACCGGTCACATACTGTCGATATCAGTGATGACGTTTCTTACTTTGGGTCATCGCCTCAAATATCTGACCGGCGAATTTTTCAGAAACGGTGAGCAGTATTTTAGAAATTATATTTGTACGCACAAGCGTCACAAATTTGCTCGTTGGATTGTCCCGCAGTCAGGCCAGTACCGATTTGGGCACCAGTTAACCAGGGAACTTGTCTAAATTACCGCTGGTTCCCTTCACCCCAAAATTTACTACGGTGCACTTTGCAGCAATAAACCTTTGTGCTGATAACAGGCCAATGACCCAAGAAACTTCCAAGTCGTGCAATCACCTCATCTGATGATACAACGGCTCAATTATTTGATGGCCATGACATTCAATGCACGTGGTTTAAAGTTTATAATTCTTCTTGGCCCACATGCTAAGTGAAACAATTGTCTGAAGTAAGTACCAAGCGGCATCCTCAAAAATGGGATTTTGAGATTTCCTTAACGCCAGTAGTGGCAAACGCAAATATTTTCCCTCAAAGGGAAGAAGTTCAAGCGGTTCGTAATATTTGCCTATGAATCGATGAGAAATGAACAAAAATAAACTAAATGCACTCAAAATTGTGGCAGATGGTCTGCAAATCTACAATTCTCTGGGATTGACCCACTGAGTGTTCTCGCAAAAGTGTAATTTTGATACTCTGATTTCTATTTACTTTGATATTCCATTTTATAAGACAAATGCTATTGAGAACGTAAACAAGCAGATTCCGTGTTGAAAACTCAATTAGAATTTGTCGTTAGAACCTATTCCAAGTGAAGGCACCTTAAATCTCGAATCCTCTGTGCAACGGCGTTAGCCACACAATCACTGTACTAGCGGCTAACATTAGGGAAGTTAAAATGAGCGTAGCACAACGGAATTTATTTATTATTCGGTGGGGTACAGACTTAT